TTTATTTTTCCTCTGAATTGCCGTTACACGTTTTGCCATTAAAAGCGATCGTATTTGGTATTTACAAGTAATATTATTTATACTTTTTAATAACCGATATAACAGTCGATTTTCCCTATCCGGAAATTGCAAATTGACCACTAGTGATCTAGAGATCACTGGAGTGATGAAAGTTGGAGTTTTTGTTGATTTGAACTAGGTATACGTCAGCAGTATGCGTATATGTAACTTAACAGCGTCTAGGGTGAGCTATATATGTTCGTAGGGAGTATTTATTTGGCGGACGTATATTAATAGTTTACGGTTCGCGTGAGTCGCCTACAAGCTCACCATTCGAATCACGTTAATATAGATAAATGAAAATAAGCGTGTTGCTGACTTAATTGTGTGAATACATTTTCAGATTCAATAATACGATTTTTAGTCGTTCCATTATTTACCTTCGTCACTGCTGACCTATTGTACCTCTGTTCATATACTGCCAATATCTTTCAACCGTGTTATTCAGCGGCAATCGGTAGTGTGAACCATTGTCTCTTTACTCTATCTCTTTCTTCCTCCCTCTTTTTTCATATGTATTTATGTTACTATTTGCTCCGCTAAAAATGCACGTAAGAGTTTCATAATTCACAACATCCGTTGTTCAACTAGTCATTGTTTTTTGTTTAGTTTTTTTCACTCTTTTGTTTATTATTTGTTTTATTTGGTTCTATATTGAGTGGATTTTCCTCTAGTACACTTCTTTATACACTGTAACTGCAATTTTAAATTATTAACATAAATATTATTATTCGTTTATAAATTTATTTAAAAATTTTTTTTTATCTAAATTACAACTTCGGATACTGTGGCCAATAGTTAATTTTTTTTTTTTAGATACATTGCTGTTTCTATGTATCACATTAATTAACAAAATATATTTTATTTTTATTTTTTAAAATTAATTTGTCAAGTCCTGTATCCTTGAGTAAAGGGATGAGGTTGACAGTGATTGTTGGTCCAATGGCTTCATACAGATTAGTTGGGGGTATTATCTTTTATTTTTTCGAGGTAGTATGAGTGGCAAGCTGTTATTATATGCTTAATTAATAGTATTTTGTTGCAAGAAGTGCATGTTAGTGGTCCTTTGTTGTCCATTAGATCAGTGGTCTTCAGCCGGTTGGTTGCGATCCAATTTTGGGTCACGTAAGTATTAAGATTAGGACGCGATAAGTCTTCTGTTTAAATTTAAAATATTCATATTAATTTATATTATAATATGTATGAAATATAATATCGGATAAAATAATGTTTGAATATATTCGTACTATTTTATGCTATTTTACATTTGTAGAAGATAAGAATGAACATTTTTTTTTTCGTATACTCATACATAATTAAAATAAAGCTTCAATCAATTTCCGACACATACCACAGATTAATTGTCGAACACATAGTGGAGGAGTGTTTACAATATACCTCAATACGCACCGACCTGAATGTGCCATCCAACATAGTAAAAGTATTTGGCGAAAGCTAAACTCTGAAAATAATCATATTCTTGAGTATCACAAATATTATTAGTAAATCTTAATTTTAAACCTATTATTTAACTCATGTAATATGTAACAACTTAAAGGTAATTCCCTTTGCTGTTGAAGCCTTAATTTTCAAATAAAAAAAAAAATGAAGAATCAAATGAAGTAATGGTATAGCTATAGCCCGACTTAATCCATAAAATTCATTTACATTTCATTTACCTATAAATTGCATTGCTTGAAATTGAGCCGAGGTGGAGATTATTTTGTGTGAAAACAGTCAAGGACAAATATTACACTAATTTTTTTTGTGTATTCTTTTGTTTTGGTATCATTACATGCATTTTTTTTCATCATTACTTATAATAAAAATTAAATATTTCCTAGATACCTGAAAAATATAAATTTTAATTTATTCAATTATAAAAGTACTTCTACAATAACATACATTAAGCAATTTTAACTTTTTATTTGGTTTTCATGGCTTATGAAGTTGACTTGGGTCACAAAAAAAGTATGGTAAGAAAAGTGGGTCGCGAGTCGAAAAAGATCATTGCATTAGATGACCATGTGTTTTAGGCGAACATGGCTGATTCTTAATCTATTGATTGTTGTATATTTTTTTGAATGTTTGAGCTTAGGGCCATGGTTATATGCTTAATTGTTTGTTTGGACCAACGGTTTTGCCAAGTAGTAAATGAGTTTATTGCCTTTGTTTTTTTTTTTAATGTCTGAGAAAGATTTTTGATTATAATTTAATATTTCTGTTGGTTTATCTACGTTTTTTGCTTGGCATTCTATTTCTTTGTTTCCATGTAGGTACGTTACAGTAACCAAATATCATCATAATATTGACAAAGGTTGTTAAAATTTTTGGTTATAATTTCTAAGTCAAGTCCGTGTTCGTTTTTGGAGGCGTTCATGTAAATATTTATAGATTTTAATTGATTTACATTTTTTAATGTTTCTGTTTCTGCGCACTTGATTTTTCAGCTATATAAATCTATTGACTTTTATTCACTGCGTATTATCATATGTACCTAATGTCCCACCACTTCGTGTGAAATCGTATTTACGCTCTCGTTATTCTTTGTTGAAAACTCTTAATTAATATTATTTATCGTTCATAGTTCTTAATTTTATACGTTATTATTACTCATAGGATACATAGATTTTCAATTATTGATTCGGTTTATTATATTTTTGATATTTGAAACAACGTATCATTCGATCTGGAATTATTGACAAAGCTATTCAATTTCTTTTCAGACAAATTATTCTTAGTCAATTTTGTCGCCGTATTGTGAGTTTTATTTTCCATGTGAAAAATCTTACAGGAAGTTCAAATTAATACGGATATGTTTATTCATATAACTCAAGTCTCGGAATCATTGACCGAAACGATAACAACTATAAGTACTAAAATAAAGATAAAACGTAATCGGTTTTCGTTACACATTTTTTTTTTTTAACGATATCAGTATTATGTATTATTATACGCTTGTATCCGAACCAGATATTTTTTATATTATTTACTTTGTTGCTTCAGCCATCATTACCATCCTGATCGTTATATCATTTAATAAATTAAACATTTTAAAGCGAAAGTAGTCTTCAACTTTCACACTTGTGATTGTATATGCAATTCGTTTGGACGTTACTACATTTTACCATCCAAAATGTTGTAAAAAGTATGAAATCACTAATTCATTACATCGTTATATAGTAATAATATCTTAGTTATTAACGTAATTTTTATTTAATCTTTTATTGGTAAAATCATATTGTCACAATTTATTAAATAAAAATGTATTATACTTATTTATGGTAGTCTCAACTACCAATTTTCTAGTAAATTATTAAATAATGTTTTATTGAAAATATAGCTTTGTTGCATACTTTTTACGTGGTTAAAAATATTAAAAATATTTCTCATTAAACTATTTTACTTTTACAGTCGGACATAATGACTTTTATTGACATTTACAAAAATTCACTAGTTCAAAGTTATTGTTATATTTAAAACGAAAGTATCAAAATAATATTCAATTAAAAATGAGACTCAGGCACATTGTGGAATTTTGGATTGAAATTTATCAACGTTCAACGCATGAGTGAATGGTATGTGGCATACAGTAACAGTCGCGAGTTGCGTTTTGGCTAGGGTTATGCATGCGTTAGAATCGTCGATCGTTCTTATTATGTCAAACCACTGTATCATCATGACTGTAGTCACTATGTCTGCTAACATTGTTTAATAGAGGGATAAAAAAAAACATTAGTTTCTCTCTATGATTTTTCGCTGTCACGTATCTGTTGGTCAATGTGAAGTATGCTAACCACGTGCAAGTAAAACTCTTGCTGCAACGTTAACACGTTTTCTCTATTTTCTAAGGAGAGGGGAAAGGGACGAGGCTTAAAAACAGCTCCTATAAGATAAATTTGGTGGGGATTTTATTTTATTTACTACATATATAGTTATTTTTTATCATCAAAAGACTATCCGCGTATTTGTATGCATTTTAAACGTCTCAATTTTAACTTAAAATGTATATCTTTTATTTACGATAACACATATTTTAAATTTTATAATGTATTCACATGATGTTGGTGTTTTGATGGGAACATGTAATTACATTACGTCTATAGGTAATATAAAATGTGTATTTGCAGATTACATATTTGTTATATTTTGTAAAGCAAATTACTTTAAATTAGTAGGTATTTTATAAAAAATAACCATTTTAAAATTTAAAGTAAAATTAATTGACAAAGTGAACAACAATAAAGTATTTGAGCTGGACATTTTAGTAACAAAAATTGAAAATTAAGTAGTTTAAGTATTGTATTGTGATATATACATATAATTATAAAGTACTGTACAAAGTCTAATGAAAATAAAATAGATATGGTTGAGAGAAATATCGGTCATTAATGCATGTTCAAAATGTTCACATTTATATGTAAAGTTTTTATGTATTTAAACCTTATTTAAAACTTTTTGCGTAGCATTTTTCCATCTTACTATCTCCGTAAAAAATAATTTTACCTTTGGGAATTGTTTATTGTAAATGTATATTGTTTGTATTTGCGTGGTGCATACATTTTTTGGCCATTTTAATTCAAATATCTTAGTACATGGCCTTGAATAATTGTAACGTCCAAAGAGTCCGTTTTACAAGATTTTGTACTTCCACATCCATTTGTGAATATACCGCTAGTATTGTGACAGAAAACTTTACAGATTTTTTAATCAAATGAAATACAAAGAGTAGCAACAAAACACGTACATGTACATATGTATGTTATTCATTTCGAATATTAATTTCGTCATTAATTCATTCTGGTACCCAATTCAGAATTCAATACCTTACGTACATACCCTATAATATAAAGACTAGAGTTAGTGGTTTATTCTTATACGTGTATTTTATAAATAATTAAACTTATTAGATTTTTTCATTAATTGTATTTGTTTTATAGATTGGCAGTCTGGACGGATTTTACCTTTTTGAACACAAACACGTGCACAAACGGTCGTTGGAGATCAGTCATACACACCACAAAAAGCTCAGTGACGAATCTGAGGTAAGTTATGTCCGTTGTATATTAATATATTATGTTCACATAAAATAGAGTTTTCTTTTGAATATCAGTAAAAACAATAATTAATGCCTGCCTTCCTTCCTCTCACCTTTCTGGGGCCTTATATTTTGTTTTTCTCCGCATTTAACCGGAATTTGTCTTGTTTCGTTGAAATTTTTAATTAAAATGTACATAATCGTTTGATCTATGGTTTTAGTGTAGATACTCATTAGCAACTAACTCGTATACTATATTAAGACATTTCGCAGGCTTTTCGGTATGTCATTCATTACTGCCTTCGATTTTATACACAACCATTATACTTGACGCCTCGTTTAATATGATTTGGTGTAGGCCAGTTTCAGTATTCACACTCACCTGCGTGTGGCTCACTATTCTGATCCTCCAGAGATGTGTTTTGCAATTCAGCTTACAGGTTTCAACTAACAGACTGAGATGTAAGAAATATATTCACAAAATATTCCACATTCGATTGACGGATGAAAAGTTAAATTTCAATTATTTTTTAGATGAATTTTCAAAAAATAATTAACTTCTGTTGAGATTCTAGAGTTTTCTCATTTTTTTATCTTTTACATTGATTAATCAATCAGTTTCTTTCTGCATTGCAATAATTGGTATTTTAATAGGTTTTTATCGTTGTCTTTTAAAAGATAAGCATGCTTATTGTTTGATATTGATGCTTTTTGCTCATTGATTGATATAAAACTAGTAAATTAAATCAATTGTAAAAATTGCGAATTATTTGTTAAAAACTATTAATTTTTAAAATTCTAGCTATTTCTGATTTCTATAACCATTTGTCTTAATATATTTTTGAGGGTGATTTTTCATAATAAAAAATCATTTTTTAATGTTTGTAATTGTTTGAACCTATCATGTAATATTTTAGTATGGTGTAATTTATATTTACATAATTCACGTCCTTGCACATCGAGGGTTTTAACACCCTATTGATGATCTCTTTACTTATATTTTTACTAAAAATATAGTCCACATTCTATAAAATTAAATTGAATTGAAAATTCATGTATAGTTATCTAGTATGGACCTACTTTATGGATTAGATGCACTTTTATTTTGGGGTTTCATGCCTTTTCTACCTATTGTCGATTATCATTGTAAATGTAGCTATCGATAGAACGTATTTTCACTGATAAATAAATTCTTCAAGTTGTTCAGACATTAGTTGATATTTATTGGTATGCGATCCTGATATTTTTGATCATGGATACCCAACGTGTATTTTTTTTATTGACCCTATAACATAACATATATGATTTTGAAACACCTCCCCCCCCTTGTACGATGCTGCGCAAAGGCCTGATATAACTAATATATTAATTAAAATATGAATTATGAATTATAAATAAATTTAGTTTATACAATTAAATTATGTTCAGATGAATTAATTTAACTAAAAATGTAAATGCATTGCATTTTCATTTTCAGTTTATAATAAAATAAGTTCATATTTATGTTACTCATTTACTGAGGTATGTCCCGGGTACCTACTCGAGTAGCACGATTTTTCAGATTTGGCCTAGATTTTTTAAATCAGGTAATCGACAATTTCGAGTACCGTATTTTCTGGGTACTCTAAAAACAATATATTATTATGTAATTATCATCTAAAAAAAAAAAATAACAATATTTTATTTATTACTTAATATGAATTAATTTTTAAATTTTTACAGTGGAGGGGAAAAATTATTTATTATAAATTGATAAGTTAACAAAAAAACTGGGAATTAGCAACCTGGTACTACCCGGTTGCTAAACGTATTTGCCGGGTATCCGAGTATTTCTGATTATGGATATTACTCGTGAAAATTAAGAGCACTAAGTATATAATTATTTATCTTTTTCCTGTTTCATAAAAAATTGTTTTTTAATTGTAGACTTTAAATATGAATCATAATTTTATTATAATATTAAACTAGTTGATGTTTTCGATTTTATTTTGAAGTACCTAATAATTTTTATAATTTGTGAAATGAGTCTTATACAGTATAGAATAATATTATGATGAATAACAAAAGTGATTCTATCGTATGAAGAAGTAGTATAATTGGAAATAGTAATATGTTTATTATACACATATATTATATATAATGATGAATAAAAACTTTTTTTTATATCTACTATAACGTTACTATTGCTTTTATAAAAAAAAAATAAACGTTTAGAAATATAGTTTCATGTTTTGTGACATCTTTGTTTATAATATACTCTTATATTATTTTGGGGTGTGTATTGAAAAGTTGTGAGATGTTTTATTTTTTAACATTTCCGTTCAGACTTGGCAAGTATACAATATAATCACACTAACATTGGTATTTTGTTCTTAAAACTAAATGTTATCTGTAACAACTTACCCTCTTTTATTAAAGGGAATTGAAATAATTTTTCTGTATAACGGATATCGAAGACCGGGGTTTTCGGAAGAGAACGAGATGTAATATTTTTTCTTATTTTAATGATTTTAGATGTTTGATAAAATTTTTTTCTTCCTATAGTGGAAATTAATAAAAATAATATTTGATGTTTTTAGGGTCTGTTATTTTATCATAACAGTTCTTATTAGATTATTATAGGTTTTTATTTTAGAGATTTATAGTTTATTATAATTTATAGTCTATTATAGTTATAGCTATTGAACATTTTTTCTCAATGGTGTAAATCAGGTGATGATAAAATGATAATTTATTGAACTATAATGGTTGAAAACATCTATCCATTTTGTTAATTTTTTTGTTGTTTTAAATATTTAATTTTTGATGCAAAATGAGCTTGTTACACATGTTTATTAAAGCTTCTGTATAATATTGTATAGTATATTCCCTAAAAAAATTCCAGTATAGATCAAAAGTAATCAATAAGACTATACTATACTATAATAGGATTTTAAAATAATTTTTTTAAACATTTGTTAGTGTAATTATAAAATAAATCAAAGTTAAAGATGTTTTTCCAGTTGTAAAATGTTTGTAGCACAAACGCATCAGCTAGAAATTATATAATAGCAGAAACATGTAAATTTACTGAAATGACTTAAATGTTGACGTATCTTCATTAAATACACGAGAGAAGAATTTTATGCGTATTTAAAATGTATGCACATTTTATTGGGGGATTTTATTTTTTTTTTTGTTGGTGAGGGTGGTTTGATTTTGGGCAATTTTGAGTTTTTTTTTGAATATTTCTTTTTTTTGTTTCTTATTTACCACCAGTAAAAATCAATATCTAAATTTTGTCAAGTTTCATACATTTGTTATTTCTCTACCTTGATTGAATGTATTTTCTCTTTTTCGTCAAATACTTTAACTTAAATTCGTTAACTACTTTTGCACAGAACAGAGAGTTAAGATGAAATCCGAATGTTCGTTCTTGTCTTTTGTGACAGCTAAGGGCATAGGTATTAAGAAGTCATAAAAATATTTGCATTTATGCTGGAACCCCCTCCCCCGTCGATGTGAACGCCGATTAACCCCATTTAGTTGTGCAGGGTATAATAGGCATTATACAGTCGACCTTTGTTCCATTGCCGCCACAGCGCACTCTTTTTTTTTTTTTTAAGCTTGACTTGCATGTCGACCGATCTGCTTAATTCGTCATACACTTATTGCAAATAGGGTAATATATAACAAATATAGTACGTACTTTATATCTATGAAAATTATAAATCATTGGGATCATTTTTTTGAAATTTGGAATTTTAAAAAATAATATTTTTTAGAACATATTTTTCAACTATTTTTACTTTCAGTACATTTAACAAGTTAAAAAAGAGTTAAATAAAGAAGAAATAAATCATTCCGTAGTTTTGTATTTATCATTATTTGAAAACTATTGAGACGTGTTGTATTAAATATTTTTTCCTCCAAAATTAATATACCCTAGCATATTCGATATTTAACAAATTAATAACATTTATTATTATAATTATAACAATTATTGTTAAGTATTGTTTATTTAATTAAAACAATAAGAATCACAAGTTAGTATTATTTAGGTATTTAAAAACGTTTAAGATTTTTCTATAGTGTACAATATTTATTTTTTATCAAAGTCTCATATTAAAATATATAAATTACCTTGTTGTTTTTTATAGGTTTAAATACTGAGTCAGTTTTTTATTTGTTTTTCAGGTATAATTTTTACATTTTATTTTATTTATTTATTTAAATAATTAAATATTTACTATTTTTAATAAAATTATTGGTATATGCCTATAAATTATTTTGTGAGATGAGAATATTTTATTATTTAGACAATAAAAAATAATTATCAAACAAACTAGGAAAATAAAATTATTAAAAAATCCAACAGAAAAAAACTGATTTGTTCTGAAGAAAATGGATTGACTGTATAACTGTATAATTTCTTATTTTCATTGATTAATAGACATACCATCTTTAATAGGACGTCAAAGTTAATTGAAGATGTATGCAAATAAACTGTAAACCTCTACAATTTTTCACTTTTATTAAAGTTTTACTTAAGCATTTATTTATTTTGATCTGTTATATTTTTTAAATTAAAAATAAATCAATTGAAATATTGAATTATAAAGTAATTCAATTGTATACTGTAAAATATATTTAATTTTAAATTCTTATGTTTTATAAATAATTTAAAGTATATTATACTTTGTGTAATTATTTTAAAATTATTTAACAGCTAAATGAATTCGTTGATTGATATAGTTTTTTTTTCTGATTTTATTGATTTTAGTTTATATTACATTTGTAAGGTTATAGATTTGTAATTAAAAAAAAAATTAATTCGTATTATAATAATGATGTATATTATATTTAGTTGAAAGTATTAAATTCATAAAAAAAAAAATAATCAAAAAATCAAGAACGAATTTAATATAATTGACCGAACCAGAAAGTAAAATGATTAAGTGGTATTATTACGTGAACGTATTTATTAATTTAATAAATATTATTATTTTAAGTATTCCTATAAATGTT